TGTGACCTGGAAAGCTGTCAAGCATGGCCCAAAGCCTTGGGACCTGTACCTATTTGGGAGACTCAGAAGAGACTCCTAGCTTCTGGCTTCTGATCAGCTCAGCTCTACCAATTGAGGCCGCTTGGGGAGTGAATCATTGGACAGAAGATTTTCCTCTCTGTCTTTCCTCCTCTCTGTATATCTGACTTTCCAATAATTTTTTTTTTTTTTAACGAAGGAGAGGGAAAAGTGAAAACTCTTGTGATGCTAGGGAGGCTTTGATCTTAACAGATGTTGGTGATGATGGTGATCAGAGGACCAAAAATTCATTTATCTGTGCACTTGGGTGCATTTCTTGCCGTATATGCTGTATTTCAATAAATGTTTTAAAAAGGCACAAATTTATTTTGGTTGAAAAAGTTTTGAAATCTATGCACATCCAAATATACCTATGTGCACAAGGATATATCAAGAATGTGTGGAAAATTGATTACAAGATTAATTTATTTTGATAGCAAAGATGTTGAAGTGCCCACACCGTTTTACATAATATGCATTTTCATGAACATTTGGAAAGCCTGCATGTGTATAAAATGTGAGTGTATTCTAGTTCTGAAGCATGACAGTCGAGACGCACAGGGTCCTGAGAAGGCCTCGACACTGCGGTGGGAAGTTGTGAAAGTGTCAGTTTGCTAGGGGAAGGGCGGGCCCAGCACAGGCCCCACAGTGAATGCTGCGCAGTGGAACTCTCGAAAAATGGCCGTGCTCCAGGGCGTACTTTAAGAAATGCCCTCTGAGCCAGTCCCTGTCCAAAAACTTTCACTGAATTTCCTTCTGCCTCAAGACAAAGCCTCGGTTTTCCTTTGAAATGCTTTTATTTTATTTGAAAAGCAAAGGAAAACCTTCCCTATGCTAGTTCACCTCCCTAAATGCTTACAGCTGCAAGGGCCAGGCTAGGCTGAGTGCAGGCCTCCTGCCAGGCCTCCCACGTGGGGCCAGGGACCTAGCCACTGGAGCCCTCCACCTGTGGCCTCCCAGGTGGGGCCGAGGACCCAGCGACTGGAGCCCTCCACCTGTGGCCTCCCACGTGGGGCCAAGGACCCAGCCACTGCAGCCCTCCACCTGTGGCCTCCCAGGCCTCCCACGTGGGCCGTGGGGCCGAGGACCCAGCGACTGGAGCCCTCCACCTGTGGCCTCCCAGGTGGGGCCGAGGACCCAGCGACTGGAGCCCTCCACCTGTGGCCTCCCAGCTTGCGCATGAGCAGACGGCCAGCAGCAGAGGCCAATCCAGGACACCTTGCTAAGGCATGCAGTCATCAACCTTCGCTCCAGATGCCTGCCAGTCTCAGCACTGCTGCACTCTTTTCCCAATACATCTTCCCCATGTTGATTCTTGACCAGCCCCTGGATCCAGTCACCCTGACCTAACACCCAAAACACTGTAACACACATCATCCCACTTCTGAGCCTCTAGCCACCCCCTATAGCTGGTTGTGCAGTCGGGTTTAGCACTAAGGCAGCCTACAGATCAAATCTAGGATGCATTCTGCTAGATGATCGGCAGGGAACTGCATCATGGGAGGAAAAGATGGGTATTTTGTGATCCCTCTGCTCTGAAGAGTGCCCCTCCCTTTAAGCTTTATTTTTGTTTCAAAAGCAGATTTACAGAGAGAGAGGGAGACAGTGATCACAGCTCCAGCTGAGTTCGGAACTTGCGAAGGGTGCATGGATGAGGCACAAAGAGGAAAGAAAGACAAGACGGACCACTAGGATTTCATGATCATAATGGACCATGCGGGAAAGCTGTCTGCTTTATTTATACAGAAACAGTCCAACTCTGGCTCAGACTTTTTACATCATGGTCAAGTGGGTGTTTCTAAGGATAATTCTGCCATTTGTTTTACCTAAAAGCAATAGAAGTTCCTACTACAATTCTTATTCTACAACTTAATCTTGTATCATAAAGAAAAGGAGAACCTAAAGATCAAGGAAAGAATGAAAGCCTAAATATAGATGCCTTGATTAGCATAAGGTCAGTGGGGACAGCCAAGGCAGTATGAATAATAGAAGGCCCTTTTGCAAGACGTTATTATTGACATTAACCTCCAAGCTCACATTGAGTAAAAAAGCCAACTCCACAGTAGCAAACAGTGGCTGAACGGATTAGAGTCCTTCTGCAGATTGGTCCAGTGTTCATGCAAAGCAACCTGGAGCTGCATTCAGGTGGTTGTAGAGACATCCGCCGGGCCCTGCCATACAGCGGGAAGTTCCTTGCAGCCCTGCCTGCAGTGGGACAATACTCTTCACACCTTCGTGTCCCCCCACATCCACTGCATGGACACCGGCAATTATCCACTGGTTCACTCCCCATATGGCTGCAGCGGCCAGAGCTGAGCCTGTCAGGAGCTGGTTCTGGGTCTCCCACACAGGTCCAGGATCCCAAGGATCTGGGCCATCCTCCACTGCTTTCTCAAGCCACAAGCAGGGAGCTGGACTAGAACTGGTATGCATACGGGATGCCAACGCTGCAAGGCAGAGGATCAGCCTATTGAGCCATGAGAGACCAGCCCCAGAAAGGTCCTTCTACAAACACAAAGAAACGCATCCCCAGTGTCTGTTTCACTCCATCCTGCCCAGCCTCTAATGACAACTGTTGGGGTTCAGTGAATCTGAGCGAGACTCTAAGGCGAGTGAGATGCTTTTAGTGTTTAGTCCAAGGGGCAACCTCTTGCCATAAGTAACAAGTGCCCTGAATTAAATAATCGTGGGGTTTTTATACTAAAAGAATCAAAAGCTGCATAACAGAGAGCAAGTACATGATTAGGGGCTAACAGTGGCACAAAACAGAAAGCATGAGATAGGAATTTACAACCTATAGGCTTGGGGGTCCTGATCCTATCACTTCAACTCAGACAGTAATAAAACAGCATGCCTCAAGGGTAGCTGTCTTTCCCACAAATCCAGAAACTCCAAGGTTATCCCTGTCTCCTGCCTGCCTCCTTGTAACAAGATGCAGGTGTCTCTTTGGAGATTCCAGACTTTCAGGAGTACAATCGCCTTTACAACTAACGCTTTCAAACAACCTTATGATTCCAGACTCCTATCATACCGGGAGCATCTTCATAAAGCCTCCCCAGGTCACCACTCACTCTTTCCATAGTATTTCCTTCTGGTCTTTCAAACTCCTGCAACTCAGGTGCCATGTAGTCAAACCTTCATAGCTTTGCGTTGTTTGGGGTTGCTTGTGGTCACTCTTTAATCTCTGTTATTTCAATGGGTATGCTCCATGCTTCAACTGGTTTCGAAGCTCAGCGAAGGCAGGAGTGACATTGCGTCTGGGGAGGGATTCTCTGAATGGCAGGTGATCAGTAAGTGTTCATGGAACAGACTGCATACACAAATATGCAAGCAGGCTTAGCGAGAACCAAGGCAAGATGGAGCAAGAGGAAAGATCTAGTGCAGAAGTTAAAGTGTCAGAGGAGATCACCAAGTCCATGTCAAGTGTAGCTGCTTCTCTAGATTCTCAGGTTTTCAGGGAAATGGCCTTCCTTTCCATTCAGGTCTTAAAGACTAACAAGGGCTTTCAGGGTTAGGAACCACCACAATTTCTCATCTAGGACTCAAAAATATAGATACAAAAAAACAACCACCAGCACCAGTCAGCTTGTATCAGAAGGGCAGTTAACCGGCTCGGTTATCCAATTGGCTTCAATTTCCCTCTGTCCTCTCGGGAGAGTTCCCTGCCTGATCAACAGATACCCTGAGCACCAGGCTAAGATGGCCATCAGGAGGTTATTTGGGGAATGATCCTTGAGTGCCTCTCCCAGTGCTGCTGCAGCTAGGAGGCTCCCTCCTCCTCTGCAGCCTCGCACACCTGACCTCAACAAAGGTCGAGGGCGACTGGGACGCCACAGCCTCTTCTACAGGTCCTCTGCTCGTATTGTTGCCTCCCTGCCCCTTTGAGACTCAGTCCCTTTGCAGGATTTGCTGACCCTGCAATTACACCCGAGTCCTTTGTGGCTACAGCATTAGCAAAGCATGCAGCCTGCATTCGATTTTTTTTCTTTCTTTCTAGGATACAGCCTCTTCCCTGTTTAAAAACATTTCTGTACCTTCCAAACGTTTCCAACCCAGAGGAAGCAGAGAATGAGCAAAAGCCAAAACAAATAAACCAAATGTCTGGTTTCAAATAGGTTTTCTCCGAAAGAGCCCTTTTTGGCTATGTGAAGGAAATTCAGTGATGCGATTTTCCAAACACCCTCTTTATGAGCTCCATCCCCCACGCACCACCCCGTCAATAACCACAGCCAGTGTGTGGTCTCTCGGCTATTTCAGCTTTATTGTTTTTCTCCCCCCTATTCCATTTGTGCCCCCTTTTCTATCGGGACCTCAAGCGGACCCCTGTTGAGGAGTGGCAAGGAGGTGAGAGTGCGCAGCAGGTTCTGGGCCGCACTGCAGTGTGACTGGAATGAGCAATGGTGGCTCACCCTGCACAGCGGCCGTCTCCGCCCGGCCGTGCCTGCGCCGTGCTGCGGGGGACACCAGGACACATCCACACACCTGCAGACAGCACCTTGCACAGTGGGCCTGGTCTACACTGCGCTCTTCCCTTTCAGTCAGTCACAGCCTCAGACAAAACACAACGGCCCTGGGGTTACGGCAGAAGACGGCCCCAGCTGACTAGAAGCGCGAGGAAACTCCCCGTCGCTCACACACACAGGATCGTCCCACCCTCACGCACCACCGCCATACAATCCCACCCACCCTGCAGCAGACCCGCCGCCGCGGACGCAGTGGTGGGAGGAGCCTGGGCGCGGCCACGCCCCCTGCGTCCCTTGGGGCGCGCCCGCCGCGGGCACGCGCCGGCCCCTCCTGGGCGGCGGGAACGCGGAGGGACGGCTCTGGCGCCTGCGCCCTGCGCCCCGCGCGCCTCGGCTCGGCCGCCGCCCGCCCCCGCCCGCCGCGGGCGGGCCCTTTGTGCGCCTGCGCGCTCGCGCTCCCGCCCTCTCGGCTGCGCTCGGTTGAGTCAGTCAGTCTGTCGGAGTCGGTCCGCGGAGCAGGCGTCTGCGAGAGACTCCGGAGAGCCCAACTGTCCGATCGTTTTCTGCTTTCCCCCCTCCCTCTCTCCCGCCCCACATCTCTTCTTGATCCCTGTCCAGCCCTCGCTGTCGCAGCCATGGCAGAGTCGTCGGCGGCCACTCAGTCCCCGTCCGTCTCCTCGTCGTCCTCCGGGGCCGAGCCGTCCGCGCCCGGCGGTGGCGGGAGCCCGGGAGCCTGCCCCGCCCTGGGGGCGAAGAGCTGCGGCTCCTCCTGTGCGGGTGAGGCGCGCGGGGTGTCCCCGGCCTTGGGGGCCTCCTTGGGGGGAAGGAGGGCGAGCCGGGCCGGGGGCTGGTCGCGGGCATTGGGCAGCCTCGGGGAGGGCCGACCGCCCCGGACGGCCGAGGCTCGCGTCCCCCGGGGACGAGCGTTTGGGATAAGGGGGAGGGGAGCGCAAGGTCGTGCGGACGGTGTGAGGAAATAACGGGGTGTGAGGAAAGCAGGTTGGGGGCGGGGAGAGGCAGTGGGCTTCCACGCCGAGGCCGGGCAGGTGGGGAGACATGGCAGCTCGGGGAGGGTGCGAGGTAGAGCAGGATTTGCGCGACGCCGTGTTCGGAGAGTCCGAAGAACCCTCCCTGCCGACCCGGGGGGCTTTGGGGGGCCGGCGGCGGTGTGATTTTGCGAGGTTAGAGAGGACTGGGGCGGGAGGGTGGGAGAAATGATTCGTTAGGATTCTGGAGGAGATGGTGGCGAGCCGGTTGCATTGCGCGTTTGCAGACAGGTGTTGACCTACCCAGACACGCATGATAGTCTTTATAAAAACATGTATATATATAAATATTTTTCTTTGCCCGTGGGGAGGATGAGGAAGTTGAATGGCAGCCCTGTAGCTCGTGCCCGCGGCTTTTCGGCGAGGCTGTGCAGTGCGCGATGTTTTCCGAGGCTGCGAGGTGGTGGAGGGAGGCGTGATGAGAATAGATCTGGGGTCCAAGATGGATCCGGGGCTGCATCTGCAACACAGCCCGCTCCCGAGTGGCGCGGCGTGGGGTGGGGACACGCAGGCGCTCGCTCATATTCTAGAGGACATCCTAGCATCGTGCCAAGCCATCAGCGTGTTTGGATTTCATGTTTTCTGTGGACTATTGTTGCTGGCAGTGTAACAAAGGGGGGTTGACTAGAGAAAAGGGGGAGGGGGAGAGCTTGGAGACAAAGCAGGGGCTGGTGGAAGCCCCTTCTCCCGGCGCTGGGAGAGACGCACTGGGCCTCCCGGTTGCTGTTGTATGCGCATCAGCCTGCGGGTGGGGGCTGGCTGGCGGGCACCCTCGCGCAAGCGGGCATCTGCAGTGCAGATGCCCTGAACAGGTGGTGGTTCTTAAAAGGAGCGACCATCAGCGGGGAAGGACAAAAATTCTGCCTTCTATTCAGTTGCGTTGAAGGGTTTTTGAGAGGTTTTATCGGCTCCCTAAAATTGCTCCTTCTCAAAATCCGACTTCCCGGATCCTGGGCCGCAGATCCCTCTGGGGTTTCCCTAACAATGCCTTTCCACCTGCCTGAGACTTGAGGACGCGCCTTTGGGTTTTCCAGCGGGATTCTGGCCATTTCCCTAGCGACAGGCTGAGAGGATGCTCCTGCGGATGAAGGGATGAGGCAGCAAATTTGGAACCCATGTTGTCTTTTCAACCCCCAGCGCTTTCCTTCAAAATTTTGTGTTCTGGGCTAAGGTCCAGGCGAACAGCTTCCTTATAACTTGGCAACTTGTCTTTCTGGCTTTAAGCACTTGTCTGTCACTGCTCACTGGTTGGTTGGCTTGTGTGTGTGTGTGTGTGTGTGTGTGTGTGTGTGTGCGCGTGCAACCTTTGCTTTTTCTTGTTTTCCAATTTTTAAATTCAGATCTGAGTTTTAGGACTTGGCCATTTCTGCTTAAGATCAGACCAATCATGTTAAGGATTGGCTGATGATTCCAGTCCGCAGGCACTAAGATGTAGTTCGAAGGCTTCTAGCCAAATGGTAGGGTTCTTTCAGACTCAACCTTTTTGTTCCTTTAATGCAAAGCCAGAATCGATTCCCCTAGCAGATTCAGGAAATCCAAATATTTCACTCTGGCATGTACCTCCGTGCCCCCAGCGCCGAGCAGGCCCTGAGTGGGCAGTGCAGACGATGCAGCATGTCTCCGTGTGTTTCTGACGTCGTTTGCCTTGTCGCCCTTGGTTTTCTGTTATTGGCTTTGTCTGGTTCTTTGTTTTTCTCAGAGGAATGCTTTACATACTTATGACACGTGAAAGAGACGCTGGGAATGAATAGTTTCCTAAAACAACTACCTCCCTACTTATTTTTTAAAAAAGATTTATTTGTTTTTATTGCAAAGTCAGATATACACAGAGGAGGAGAGACAGAGAGGAAGTTCTTCCGTCCAGTGGTTCACTCCCCAGGTGTTGAGCCGATCAGAAGCCAGGAGCCAGGAACTTCCTCCAGGTCTCCCACGTGGGTACAGTGTCCTAAGGCTTTGGGCCGTCCTCAACTGCTTTCCCAGGCCACAAGCAGGGAGCTGGATGGGAAGTGGAGCTGCCGGGATTAGAACTGGCGCCCATATGGGATCCCAGCATATTCAAGGTGAGGACTTTAGCCGTTAGGCCACAATGCCGGGCCCCCAGTAGATTTTCTTAAGCTCTATCCACTACAAATATGTATTAATATTTTCTGGAAAACATACCATTTTTCCATTGGGGTGGGCCCAATGCCATCTTCCTGTGACAGGTGGCAACTTGGAGGAAAAGGTCTGTCCTCAGATACCGTGCATTTCCCACGGAGGCCTTGCTCTGACCCAAGGGCTCTTCGTCTCACCAAGTGTCTCAGGCTACTGTTCCATGCAGATGACGCTTATTTAAATTTAACTCGACTTCAAATGGATGCTCAGGTAAATCTACCTGGTTTATTTTTTAAAATCTACAAATGTTGCCGCGTACCTTGGGCTTCATAGTTCTCCCTCAAGTCCTTTGGTTGAGAAACTGCTCTTGGTTTTGGGGAGAGTGGCTCGTGGCTTGGTGTTAGGAAGAGGACAGTGTGTGTCTCAGCTGGCCTTCCTGGCAGGAATCCTGGAGATGAGGGTCCTGGTGACGCTTGGTGGCCCAGGTGCCAGTGCAGCAGGAGGGGAAGGGGGGGAGTGACCTGCTGGGTGCGCAGAGTTGTACCTTCGAAGGAGACCAGACTTTGTAAAAAATATAGCTGAATTTTTTAAATGTTCGAAGTTTTAAATTTTATATATATATTTTTAAGATTTATTTATTTGAATTGGAAAGGCGGATTTACAGAGAGAAAGAGAGAGAGAGCTCTGTCCGCTGGTTCGCTCATCCCAAGTGGTGGTAAGAGTCGGGACTTTGCCAGGTGTAAGGCTGGGGCCAGGAGCTGCCAAGTCTCCCCTGAAGGTTCAGGGGTCCACACTCTTGGGCGTCCTCCTCTGCTTTACCAGGCACATCAGCAGGGAGTTGGATCCGAAGTGGAGCACCCAGAACCCTCTAAGTGGTACCCACGTGGTATGTCAGCTTCACAGGCAGCGACTTGAGCAGCCGTGCCGCAGTGTTGGGTTCCTTCATCTTAATAATATAAAGAGGAACCGCACATTATCTGTGCGTTATCCCTGGGAGCATCAAGCCCTCGTGACTCCCACAGTGCCTAGCTCTCAGTCTCAGCTCTGTGTCTTGATCGTTGTGTGACCTTACAGGAGTCCTGAGCCCAGCCCTTAACTCTGAAATGGAGTTCATACCATCCATGTCTGATTCAATGAAAATCAGACGTGTAATATGTGAGCAAGGCTGCTCGCCCATAGCAAGTGCTGGGCAGGAGCAATGCTGAGCCTTGCAATCAGACACATTTGCTTCGAGTCCCTAAATGCTCAGTACCTCACGTTTGAGACATCCATTTGCAGGCTACAAGCTGTTTGCTCATAAATATGAACTAGCAGTTGAATTACAAAGAGGTGATAAATTTTCCTCATTAGTAACAGATGATTCTTAAAATTTTTCTGCTTCCCACAAGTAAGTTATCTCAGCTTTTTATCCCTCAGATTAATGTCACAAAGCTGCCACACCCTTCCCAAGTGAAGGAGGAAGTTGTGAGATGCTTACAGTAAGTAACTCACCGCATTCTCCCTGTGGGCACCTGGCTGCACCTCTTCTGATCCCGCTCCTGCTGGCGGCCTGGACGGAGCCGCGGAGAGCTCGGATGCCTGGGCCCTGCTGGCCACACAAGGCCTGGAAGATGCTCCTGCATGCTGGCTTCATCCTGAACCAGCCATATGGAACATTCTCTCTCACTCCCGCCTGTCCTTGTAACTCTTTCATACAAATGAATAAATCTTGAAAGGCCTGGGGGGGAGGCGGCATTTTCCAGAATGACTTGGCAGGGGATCATTGTGCTTAAATGTTTTCTGCAGAATTCTGACCATGAAAACTGAAATGGTTAAGCCATTTCTTGCAATGTTGGCATCCAATATCAGAGTGGCGGCTTTTCTGCCTCTGATCAGCTCCCGGCTAATGTGCTTGGTACAGCAGCAGAGGGTGAGTGAGCCCTGTGACCCCAGTGCTTGGGCCCTGCTATCTAGCTGGGAAAGCCACACGCAGTCCTGGTTCCTGGCTTCGGCCTGGCTCATGCCTCCTCCGTGCTTCAAGTCTAGCTTCCTACCACTGCGCCAGGGAGGCTCAAGATGGCACAAACCCTGGGCTTCCAGGCAGGGCTCCAGGCTTCCAGCTCCTCCCTGGCACAGCATTTGGGATGGGAACCAGCAAATGAGCCATCTCTCTCAGTCTCTCCCTTTCTGTCTTCCCTCACCAGATCACTGTGCCTTTCATGCAATTTTTTTTACAGATTGACTTATGATAACATTGTAAAATGCCTCAGCTTGGAAGCAAGGATGGTCATGTCAGTATGGCCTGTAAATACCTACTGACTTGGATTTTTTTTTTTAAGATTTTATTTTTGTGGGAAAGTCAGATGTATAGAGAGGAGGAAAGACAGAGAACAAAGTCTTCTGTCTGTTGATTCAATCCCCAAGCAGCTGCAAGGGTCGTAGCTGTGCCAATCCGAAGCCAGGAGCCAGGAGCCTCTTCTAGGTCTCCCATGCTGGTGTAGGATCCCAAGATTTCGGACCGTGCTCGACTGCTTTCCCAGGCCACAGGCAGGGAGCTGGATGGGAAGCGGGGCTGCCGGGAGTAGAACCGGCGTCCATGTGGGATCCTGGCATATGCTGCTAGGCTACCATGCTGAGTCCCCTGACTTAGAATCTTTT